AGTTATTTTAATATACTTTCGTAACTTATTTACCGATAGATTGTTGTAGAAAGAAGGGTTTAATCTCTAATCTATAAATGACACGAAGTTGTTTTTGTCATTTTTGTAGAATGTTGTAACTTGGGCCTAAAAATCATATTGTACCTTGGACAGGTCTTTGTTCTTTTTCCCGATATTTTATCTCTTTTTTTTTCAAAATTAAAGAAGTTATAAAGATTAGATAGTAGTAAAAAAATTATAAAGACTAGAAAACATAGAAATATTAAATATACCGTAAAGACTGATTAAGAAGGCATTAAAATTATTAGAATAATAGAGATTTAAATAACCTTACTACTTCGCATATTATAAATAGTATTGTAAAGCAAAAACTATATATATATACATAATTAACAAAAACAACTACTAGATTCGATGTTCATAGGGGGTGTTGTACCATGGACATAATTACCGTTTTTTTTTAATCGGAACATTATGGATTTTTCTTTCCTATTTAAATCACAGAGAGGAATTATTGGTTGGCAGAAATTTTTTATTACATTGTATATTTTTGTTCTTTTTGTTGTTGTTCAGATTTTGCTCCATTCTTCTTCCACGGTTATTTTTATGTGATTTATGAGATCCTGGTATGGTATTGGGGTTGTTGGTTCGGCTGGTGGTGGAGTTATTGCTTTTTTTGCTGCTGTATTCTCTGGTTTTTGCAAAGGAGTTGTACTTTAATGTCAGGTCATGATCTTTTTTAAAATTAGTTTCTTCTAAGCATATTATGTCAGGGTTGTGTCGTTTCAGAATGATTTGGAATTGTTGGGGGTGTGTATAATAACCATTGATGTTCCACTGTGATTGTCTTCATTGCGCTCTTTTTCTTCTTCTTCTTTTTTAATGTAGTTGGGATGATTGAGATGTGTCAGATTCAATATTTGATGACCAGTTTGCCGTGTGTTCGTTAAGTATTTCGAGGGAAAGTTTTTTGCAAAGTCTGTGTATTCGGTTTTTTAACATTTGTATTAAAGCTGGCGTGTTCTCGGTATATTCTTTCGATATTTCGTATGTAGGTCTTGATCCAAAGACGTTTTCGAAGAAGCTTTTTAATTGCATATAGTTTAAGATATGCTTTTCATTTTTTTTTAGTTTGAGCATTCCATCCACTTTTTCATGATCTATCACTGGCGACAAACGTATTGGTTTTTTTTATGGTGGTGGCTTTTTAGAAGGTTTTGGTTGGTAATGGTTTAATGAATTTGATATCATCAAGACTTATATAATCGAATCTGGTGTCGTTCGATGAATCTGATAATGGTCTTTTTGTGTCGGTTTGAATCTTCAGTGGTTCTGCTAATTGATCCGCTAGTTGCAATTCTGGTAGTTCTGCTGGTAATTCAGATATATCGGTTTCAGGAGAGTTCTTATTTATCGACGGTTCTGTGGTTTGACAGGTGTCACTGAGAGTTGAGTTTGTCTTAGTTATCGTGGTGTTTTGGTTTGATTCTGTGTTATTGGGACATAGTTTGGCTACATGCCCGTCTTGTTTGTATAAGAAACAATTTAATTTATCGATAGTCGTGAAAATTCTCTGTTTTCTATGGTTACTAAAAATGAGTCCGATATTTTTGTAACATCATCTGGATGGACGTATATATTGTCTTTATTATTATGGGTTTTATTTCCATTTTATATTAATTTATATTCAATAATATTGGGTATTTTATTTTTGTTAGAATTGTTAGATGACCAACCATATTACACACTCATAGATAAAGTAACCTAGATGCATCATCCTTAGTCAACGCAAACTCCAAAAAGCCAAAAACCGTTTTAGTCACCCTGTAACCAAGGGCCATGTCCATCCCTTCCCTAACTAGAAAACGTGTATACATATAAGATCTCAAAGAGTATTCCGGGGGCATTTCGTATTCAGAGTTGGACACAACCGTTCGAAATAAAGCCTCTTGTTATGTTTCAAGAAAATGTTGTTAATATTCCTTTCCCTGGAATCCAACAAGATTATACTTGTCTTCCGAAACTTGATATATGTGATACCTCTGGATCGGTCATTCCTTCTTTTAGGTGCGATATTTTTTAGCAAAGTCCGACGTTATTTTGATTGAATGTATTTTCAATTGCTAAATTAGATGTATGTAGTTGGTGAGACGTTTGATAAGATTATTCATTGAGTCGGTGATATCATAGGTCTTATTTCGATTCTGTTACTGCGTATTGATATTGATTTGTGGTTAACGGTTAAGTGAATCACCGTTTCCTTTCTGTCTAGATACATACATATTCTACTGTTTGAGATTCTTGATACGAATTTAATTGCTTTCGATCCTATTATTTTTCCTATTCCTCCAGCGTATTCTTTGACACTGATGCCGTCTATTGCTTAGATGATAATGGCTTGTTCATTGGTATGGATGGATTCGTGTTTTGTAGCGTGAGCTTAAGATTTGTTAGGTACGATATTATTTTGAGCTGAGTTTCTTTCCGTTGTGTTTGCGGACGAGATGCCTCTGTACTTATAAGTCTCGGTTGTTTGATGCTGATCTATTGTTGATTTCATTGTAGCGGGCTTACTTCCGTATACAGGGTGTAATAAAAATGATAGAGGACCCGGAAATGGGAGACTCGTGAGGTGATTTGGAACAAGTTTTTCCTTAGCAAGAATGGTATCCGTGGCTTTGTTATCAAGATATTAACGCAAAACCCTGACCATTTGGCTACCAATCGCAGAGTGTAGATGCATGCCTTAATAAAACCATGTACATTCTATTTAGTCATTTTTTCTTACTTTAAATAGTAGCGGAAATAATTTAAGTGCTCGAGTTAAAATTAACACCCTGTATATCGCGACAGCGGCTCAGCCCGACGGTATGGTAAGCTTCGAACCGTCCCGTCCGCAAAGGGTTAAAGCGTGTTTCTCTTTCATTTAAATCACTACTACAAATTAATTGAAAACTGACCTAAACCTATCCACTCTCCCTTCCTCGAGCTCTAACGTTCCACTCCCACGATTATTCGTCCCCGATATTTCTCGCCTCTGTTTACACCGTGAAAATAAGAGAGGAGCCTATCCGTTCGGTTTCGTGCACTCAATACGGCCTAAATTTTCCCGCGGTTTCGACCCGTCAGCCTCTTGAGCATCGCCGCATGAAAGCTAATCAATTACGGGGACACGCTCGATCGATTTAATCGGGAACGGCCGTGTTGAGTTCAGTCAAGCACGGCGAGAGGTAAACACCTTCCAGGAAAGATAATCGTCTCGCGTGTTTGACGAGACATAGGAACTCCGACAGCCGTAGGTGAAAACAGATTGCCCCGTTATCGCGACTGAACACCGGCCCACCGCAGCAATTTGGCTTATGAAATTCGGAGGCTAGAAATTTGCCAATCGAACGATGGAATTGGGTGCATCGTGAACCAATTTGAGTTATCGATGAAGTCAGAAGTTTCACAGCCAATTCAAAAGTCAAGATTCGGCGATTTTGCCGAATCGGTAATAGCCGAGAGCAACGTTCACGCGTACAAACAAAGAAGTAACCACACAGCGTATTTTAACGTCATCTGGCATGGTTTTAACCCAGAATTAGTCGTAAGGAGTCATCGAATTTTCGAAACGAGAAAATATGTGCTTTTATTAAACAGAATATGCCTGCACCGTCGTTAGCATTCTAGTTCGTGGAAAAAGTAACACTTCAATCCCTATCCAAACGTTACCTAATTGCAAAGAATGCGAAGACAGTCATTTATCGTGTTCACCTAATTAATTCCTCTTTTAACAATTGATCTCGTCATATGCCAAAATACGATCACTTTACAGGAATTTTATTTTGTTACACTATTTTTTATGTTTAAATCACATGTCAAGTTGCTTTCTTAGAAATTCTAGTAATAAGAAAATACTTACACAGAGGATGGAAAACACGATTCTCTAATTCTTTTGAACAGTGTATTCAAATTTTGTATACAGTTTCATTTGTAATGAAGCTTCAACGAAATATATTTACACGTATGTATATTGTATATGGTAAATACATATATTCACATAGAACAAAAATATGTAATAATTAAAGTTAATTTAGTTGGTTGCAACAGTGATAAGTTTCCTGCTTCGAGTTATATTGTTAATTAGTATAGTGATCCATGTAATTTGTGTTAAAGGCGAAGGAACTTGTTACGTAATTTTCTATTAGTTATGTAAGATCATTATACAAGTACATACTTCGAGCATGAAAATAAATCAATGTTGACGATTTCAATAGTAATTAAACGTTAGACTCTATATGGATTCAAGCATTCAAGCTAAGTTTCTCAGTCCTGGAGTAGTTCAATTGTATTCTCTCGGTTTTGGATTAATCTTGGCATTGAAGGACGTTTCTCTTCAAAATTTGAAGTGCTACTATGTATGTCGCCTTCGTGTAAGGTATCTTTTTTTGAACGATAAAACATCAGTTTAATCTTCACCTGTTCTAATATCACAAAAGTAAGCGTATCTATTTTCTCCTAATAGATACTGTGATTCATACAACAAAAAAGTTTCGTCTGTCATTTTCCCTTATCTGGTATAGTATTACCCTATACAATATATTTATTTGTATCTGTATATATATATATATAAGTATATATATAAACATATATATTTTGTATATATGTTTATACTACCAGCCGAAAATATGGGACCAGATCTAGTAATTCAAAAAAGAAAGAAGTATTATTCTACAAAAATCTGATAAAAGTAATGTACTAGAATTGATTAGAATTGAGTTATATTTATATGTACTGATTCCGTAACTTTTATTATATTGTAACAGAATAATGAGCTACTGTTCCATCAATGGAATGAGCTATGGTCCTATACTTTTAGCCAGTACTGTACATATTTGCAGACGTATACACTGATAAGATTGTCCGTCTTTAGAAGACTCCAAACGTTGGTTTCCAATTACACTTGCAATTATCTCCTACGCATTCGTGAATTGACTTGACAACTGGATGCACGCACGTTTAGAACACGCGATTGGAGGATTTGTAATACCAGTATTATTTCTGATATAAAAATGACGGGTGAGTAATAATAATATTTCTAACACAAGTACACAATTTCGATTGTACACACGATTACCTTGGATTAAGTTATACAGGATGACTCGTGTAAGGGAGAAATAATTTGGTGTAAGTAGTTTCTTGTAGCTGGACGCATAGATGATATATAAAAGTCGAATTTGTTTTCTTTTAATAGAATCGATAAAAAAAAGTATTAAGCTACTTATGCCGAAAAATCATTAGTTCAGAAGATACGTTAATTTCAAAATTACGAAGTGATATTAAATAAAACAAATTTTTAAAAAATTGCATCTTTATATGTCCTCTAGGCATCCAGCTACAAAAAAAAGCAATTCACATCAAGTGATTTTCCCCTCGAAACCATTAAATTTCTGTCTGAAATATTTCTCGGTATCATCAACGGTTTGAAGATGTTCGCGAGGATCGATTTAAATGGCACTTCCTGTATACAATACCTGTTACTCTCGTACATATTTTTTTCCATCGAAGACAGCAGACAATTTATTTTTACGTAGTATATGCATTCTACATTATTATTAACTTCAATCTAATTTATTGTTATTATACTTCAAACATTTCTCCTTAATGTTTTGTTATATGCAGCACAAGTTATTTATGACGCATTCAATATACAACGTGTCCCAAAATAAGTGTTAGTCCTTGAAAGGGGTGATTTCGGGGGTAATTTGAAACAACTTTTTCCTTAGCGAAAAAGTTCTCATATCTTTTGTTTCTGGGAAACTATCGACGATAAAGTAATTCTGGGGACTGCAGACGTCACGAAAATCGTAAGGCAAGGAGCTTAACAAAGCCTCGGAGAACTTTTTCGCTAAGGAAAAAGTTTGTTTCAAATCACCCCAGGAGTCACCCCCTTCAATGGCTTACACTTATTTTGGGACAGCCTATGTAATATGACCTTGTTCATCGTACAAAGGACAGGATCACGTTGAATGTCTGGAATAAATATTAAAATTGTTGAATGACTCTTTATATTTGGAAATATCACTTATGAACTGTGTAGATACAGTTCATTTCAACTTTTACAAAATATACCTTGTTATACTGTATCGTAACTATAACTGTAAATATATGTATAAAAAATACAACACTAATTGACGCAAAGACAAACAGAGAGAATACAATAAAAGGAGAAAATATTACTTTGAAGTCCCATATCAAGCACTGAATATCGCATATCTTTGTGGTTCAACTAATCTTATCATTCTAGGTGTAGCCTTCTTCCATGAAATACGAAAGTACGTTCTTTATACTAGGTGTCTCTTAATTCATAGTACCAGGTTGCTGCATAAATTCCATCAATTACTTCTTGAAGAAATAAAAAGAAAGTGTCTAAGGCACACTGAGAATCTAATGCTACGAATACTATTTGACACTTTGACCGCTCTGTCACCCACATATCTGTGACACATTCTTGTCTGGAACGTAAGATTAATATTTATAATAAAATGTAAGACGAAATAAAGTCTAGTAAGGTCTAAGAGGTTCAAGAAAACTATCCAACTACGAATCGTGGCAAATGTTGGTTTAATACAGATTCCACATTGCTGAAGATACAGACTTAACCTTGTGGAAATTCTATGACGTTCAATCTGGGCAGTCAGTGTTAAAGAGTATAACATCTATAACGGTGTCTAATAAAATTAACCCTTTACGTCCAGTCTGTACTTTCTAGTACCACTTATATTATAACAAAATGCTGCCATGAACCAATATGCTTAGAATCCAGCTGGGATGCTAAAAAATTGTGCCAGCACTCAGACACCGTATTTAGCTATTTGAATAAAAATACTACAAAATGAATCAAGTTTGAACAGTTTTCCAGTATCCGGAATAAAAATTGCGGTAAAGAAATAACGAAAACATAATTCAGGCCTTAAAGGGTTAAATTCCCATCTAAACGTATCTTCGAAGCAGACCGAATTTATTGCAGCAACCTAATACGTACAATTATTTTCCTTCGAATTCTCAGTCGATTCATTCTGTCGTCCTCGCGTGGAGCGTTCATTTTAAAGAAAGTTATTCACGCTGAAACCTATCCCGTAGATTCCAATCGATAAGTAATCCCGGTTCGGAACAGTAAAAAGCGTTTCGATAAGAACGCATTCGAAATCAGGATTTGGCAATGCATCATAATCGCGTAGCATAAACGTATAATAACTATAGACTGCGCATTTGCTGCAAGACGGTCAAATATTAAAAAATGAAATATCTTTAGTAAGTCTTGTTGTACGTCTAGTAGCTTACTCATGCTTTAGGTCACCATTTTGTCTTCGCCTGACATTCACACCTTTTCATTCCCTCTACTTTTTCATATCAAATATTAAAAAATGAAATATCTTTAGTAAGTCTTGTTGTACGTCTAGTAGCTTACTCATGCTTTAGGTCACCATTTTGTCTTCGTCTGACATTCACACCTTTTCATTCCCTCTACTTTTTCACATCAAATATTAAAAAATGAAATATCTTTAGTAAGTCTTGTTGTACGTCTTGTAGCTTACTCATGCTCTAGGTCACCATTTTGTCTTCGTCTGACATTCACTCCTTTTCATTCCCTCTACTTCTCCGTGTCCCAGACAACGAAGACTTCTGTGCAATGTCACACGTTATTAGAGAAATACAGATTGGTGATCGTACAGCAACTATCTCTTTCGATTTTTTTATATGGTGTGACTACAGGAGATATTGAAACCGCACGGTCTATTTAGATATTATAAGAGAGAGTGGGTAGGTTTCGGTCAGTTTTCAATTAATTTGTAATAGTGATTAAAATAAAAGTTGTTCCATCATGATTTCATTTTATTATTCCAAAGAAATCTTTAAAAATATAATAGTTCGAAAACTAGTTATTTGGCCCGTGCCTCCCTTTTTGGGGGAGGTTTGGGTCAGTTAGTGGGAATAGATGGGATATTTAATTGTTGTATTATTTTTGCAGTAAATGTAGAAAAGTATTATAAGTATATGCTTATATTTATTACCTACAAAGTGATAATGCATGTATATAAACGTAATGAAATGAATAAATGAAATAATAAAGACTCTGAAAGAATTGCGTGATAAACGTAAAGTAAAGACTGATGGAATAACATAACATACATAAAGATATTTAAAACAGTTAATTGAATTTTTCATGTACATTTTCGAAATTACTCAAGTCAATATCGAATTTAATAACATTCTCTGTTCTGCTCGTACTAACTAGGTTATTTGGACACTTCTGACCCAAACCTCCCGTATCTGAACCTTCATAGAAACTCACCCCTGTTACTCGAACCACGCGTTTTAGGTTCTGATTTGTAATTTCTAATTGTTACTGAGACAACATACGTCCATTAAAATTTTTACCACCACGAAATATTTTACATGACTTTGTAGCAGCGATTCATTTCGATTAGCAGTTTGTATTAAACTCACCCTGTAAATACCCTTGTACTTGTATAATACCAAATTCGTACTGTACAAACTTCCCGCTTCGGTTATGAGTACTCCTATTATTGCAACAACGAATAATTGACGGGCGAATAAGGTATGCGTAACAAGTATGGAAATATACTAACTGACCCAAACCTCCCAGGGCCCAAACCTACCCTACGACTACATATGTTGCGTAACACCGAAACCGATACGTTTCCACGGTGTTCGCCATCTTGAATCTCGTCGATGTATGTTGCAGGATTCAAATGGGTTAGGTTCACGGGCGCACGTTACACGGTGCCGGGGATGATTTTGATCGGTAAGGATCTCGACGGCACTAATCTCGTGGTCGGTCGTGCTTACCATTGCGGGGATATGCTACCCGCGAAGGCAAAGCCGGAGCACGGTATCGCTTACGTTTGCCACAACGGCCAGGAGCACATAAAACGCGACTTCGAGGTAAACAAATGTTCTTTTCAATTTTGGACCATTTCTTTTTGGTGAATTGAAGAGGTTTACGGAAGTTATTCTGTCATATTAATCCATTCGTGTCATATGATGACTAATATTCGCACGAACTTATTATGGCGTTGAAATCATATGACGAAGTCAGCTAATGAGATAAAGTAGCAATCGTAGTAAGAATAATTCAATATGATTCGTCAATCAGCTATGTAGGTACAGTAAATCGTCGATGAATGTTCGAAGGCTCCTGACAGGGAGCGGTCCCCAGGTGCAATGCTGACCTTTCAATAAGGTTTAACACAGTGATACACCTTGCAATTCTGAAGCCAATGGTATATGTTTCAACCACATATAGTCATTAGTTTATGGAATATTTACTGTTCAGTGCTGAGGAGGCTTCGAACACTCATCGAGGATTTACTGTATTTAAATTTGACACTAATGGGCTAAGGCAACAATCATATTGAGAGTATTTAAATACGATTCCTTATTCAGCTATGAAGGCATATAAATACGACGCTAATGGGTTAAAAAGAGAAAGGTTTTCGAAGACCTTGACGTGTTCAACACCACCTTTCTTTCTTGGCTACACACATTTTTAGCAAATACCTGATTAAGTGGCTATTAATTACGGCCGGATCGATTGCTATCCTATCACTAGATCTCATATAGACAGATATACATACAAGGTAATAGTCGTATTGTCGCTATGTAAACAATACAGTGACTCTGTTCATCTACAAATTGCTTGTTTCGAATAATTTTCCAATGGCGAATTAGCTCACCCTGCCCATTATTTTCCAATGACTAGTTAATTCGTTACATCCGTTGTATAGTTGTTTTCCACTGACGGGTTATCTCGTCCTACCCAGTCTTTTCCAGCGACGAATTAACTCATCCTACTCACTACTTCATAGTGACGAGTTAATTCATCTTATCCACTGTATAGTTATTTCCCACTGACGAGTAATCTCGTCCTATCCCCTATTCTCTAATCACGAAATCAGTTGTCCAACCCCCTATTTTCCAATAACAAATTAACTCATCTTACTCGCTATTTAATAGTGACGAGTTAATTTGTCCTACCCACTGTACAATTGTTTTCCATTGACAAGTTAAGTCGTCCTAACCTCTATTTTCCAACGATGAATTACCTCGCCCTACGCACTATTTTACAGCAACAAGTCAATTCGTCTTATCCGTGGTAGAATTTTTTTTTCAACGACGAGTCAACTCGTTTTAGACGGTTCTTAAACAAATATACGCGCACCGGTATGCACGTATCAAGGGATAAACTATCAAGAATCGATTACTTAAATACCAATGTTGACTTAAAGCAAATGTGTCCGAGGAGAAAGTAATCCCTATCGTATATCGACGTTCCATTCATCATGTACGAACGCGGACAACGAAAGCGATATTTGACCGTCCCTTTTTTACTTCCTATATCGTTCCTCGATATCGACTGCTAACCATTCGTCACGGTACTACGGATATAGCCTATTCTAACGGCGTATGTCCCTTATTCACCCCGTGTACCACGGTCGATCGTATACGGCGAAATTAATTTCACTCGATTCGGCAACACCACCGGTGGCGGGCGTGACCGCAGTTAATTACGATTCTAGCCGGTCTCACTTCGGGTAATTTATTTATCGGGAGTATCGGGAGGATTAGGTCGGTGAAAAGCACGTCCACTCGGTTTACATCATTCTACCAGCGGATCGCCGACTGAACTATACTTACAAGGAAAAGTACCCCAACTGTCAGGCTTCGATTTTAACGGGATTTTGTAAGATGATGATATACAGGGTATTTATAGAAATGTGAGACACTTTCACAGAGTGGATTCTAGACGTCAAATTAAGACGATGATCAAGAATGACGAAATTGCGTTCGAGGCTTCGTTTCTGAGTTATTATTGTTGAAAATACAGACGAGATACGTGTAAAATACGTCTGGCGCGATGGGTTATACTACTTATAACAGTCGATTAGATCTAGTTAACCCTCTAATGGTAAGGTCCGAATCGGATTCGACTCAAGTTATAGTTGTTCTTGTGCTGTTTCCATTTTATTTTTTATTATTTTTTTATATTCCCGTTTTAAAATATTATTTATTATTTAGTAGCCGTTTAATACTTATACAGTACTGTTATATGTTATATAACTCTATGATTATTCCTTATTATATAAATAAACAGAAATACAAATTCAAGATAAGAACTTTTTTTTACCCGTCTGAAAACAGCAAAATGAAACTCGGGTCGGATCCGATCTCACCTTACCAAGAACGACCTTAAGACTCACCTCATCATTTGAGTGTTAAATTTATGAATGAAATAAAATCAAATGAATGGAACCAACTCGTGAAACAATTGAAGTGCGTGCCTTTCAAATAAAATTACCCAACGTGTGAATTCAATACTTGCTTCTATTCGCCCCAATGGCAGGTGAATAGAAACACTCAGGCTTTCTTTAAAAAAAAAAATATATATATATATATAAAACTAAGCTACAAAAACAAAAAGTGGTACTAAAACACAATCAGTGGATCAAGACCGAGAACTTAAGATGTATAAAATAGCAACAACATTTATCTTCTAATTAGTATATTTCGTTTATACATAGAAGTGTTTCTATTCACCCCAATTTAAGGTAACGTAAATACTTAATATAAACGATACTATTTCCACGATAAATAATAACTGGAAACTGTGTAATGTTGCAACAGAAAACCGAATTATATTTAATAATTTTCATTCGTAGTAACATCCAATATACAATACATATAGTGAGTCAAAAAAGTCTTTATACATACACTCTTTTAAAACAGAAGAACTTTTTTAAAATATGACGAAGTGACTTGACCTTTTTGTGAAGTTAGAAAGATTAGTTTGCTAAATGATGTGTCAAACAAATTTTGAAAAAGTCACAATTGGTCAGAATCGCGAATAAAATAGTAAAGGTCGCTTTCTACAACTTTTTTAGCAGAGACTTTAATGAAAATTTGAAAAATACATTTCTTGGATTTATATTAGTTATACATATACGTGCTGAAAATTTCATCGAAATCGGTCAATATTGCTGTGATACAAACGGTTAAAAATATTAAAAATCGCAGTTTTTAGCGATTTTTAACCTATAACAGTTAGTAAATATAACGATTCTTACATCTTTCGCTGCCTATCGCTCGTTTCGGTATTAACGGATTTCAATAAAAGTTTCAACATGCATATAACTAACATAAATCTTCGAGATGTATTTATTAAACTTTTATTACAGTCACAGATAAAACAAAAGTTGCAAAAAGCGACCTCCACTGTTTTCTTCGCGATTCCGACCAATTGCAACAATTTCAACATTTTTTCGACACACCATTTAGTAAACTAATCCTTTTAACTTCACAAAAAAAATCAAGTCACTTGATCCAATTTCCAAGAAGTTATTCTGTTTTAAAGGGTATGCGAAGACTGTTTTGACTGACTGTATTAATAAAATCGGCCGATTCATATGCAACAACCTCGTAAAAATTTACCTCTAATAATCCGAAATTATCAATCCGTTTCAGGAATTGTGTTTTTCCTGAAGCCATAAATAAAAAAGATATGGACACCTAACAAGCACTCATGACTTAACTTAATAATTCGATTATTTCAACTTGTACGAGTCGATTTTCCTGTGTCTCTCTCGTGCTACCACCACAAAAGGGTTAAGTCTTACGGGATCAATCGGTCCCGCCGTTCAACCGGATCATTTACGGCCACTCGCTTTATCTCTTCCAGCACGAGTATTCATGCAGACATTTCTGATGCGTTTCTTTTACCCCGTAGATTCTGATGCCCGCCGATTTTAATTGGATTCGGGCGGCGCACGGTAATGTACCGATCGAAGCGGTCGAGGCTGGAATGACGCAGAACGGAGAGATGCTTTACATTGGGCGTACATACCACAATGGCGCGCCGTGTATTGGAAAGGTCAGACACCACGAAATACAGTGATTTTACTTGTTGGATTTCGTTCGATCGATAGTTTTATCTTTCAAAAAAATCGCGTTTATTTTATATCTTCTACCTATGGAAATTCATGGTACAGTAGACCACCCCCTATTACACGAGAGGGATACGTTCCGTGTTATACGAGTCAGATATACTCATGTTCATAAGTCACAGGATTAACATTAGGTAATTGTTACAATTAGAAAGGCACACTCCGATTTCGATGTTTTTTCAATGTGTTATCAAAGTCATCACCCTGGGCAGTGTTGCGAAGGTTTTAGTTGGGGGTCGCAGTTTGTAAAAAAGTTATTATCAGAAAAAGTTTAAGTAGGTAATTATTTAGACGTTTGCCCTTCTCGCGGATTTCGATGCGCTGAAAGTCAAAATCACGATATTCATACACATTTCATACCAATATTCTCCATTTTCAAGTAGAATCAGTCTCAGGTACACTACTTCAAGTACACACTCATATATTGTTTCGGGGGAGTTATTATCGGAGAAAGTTACTTTTTTTCTTGAACTGTCTCTAATCAACTCTGAACAGTATGATGCTTCAGAGTTGGTTAGAGACAGTTCAAAACAAAAAGTTATTCAGAATTAGTTAGAGACAGTTCAAAACAAAAAGTTATTCAGAGTTAGTTAGAGACAGTTCAAGAACAAAGAATCGTTGTTCCCTTAATCATTTTTTAATAAATAACATTTGATAACTGAAACTATCTGCAGGTCACTCAGGAAGGCGAGCTTGATAACATATGTCAAGATCCAGGTCATCGTTCATTTTACTTATCAATACTACTGGAATACAATACAAAACTTCTTATGATAGTAACTGTTTTACAAACATCGCAACCCACTAAAACCTTGACAATATGTAGGTACTAGTCAGGGAGATGTCTTTGACAACATACATATTAACAAATCATCGGAATCGAGCGTGGCCTCTTTATTCTAAATATTTACCCTTGATTGTTATGAGGAAAATGAAAATCGAAACAGAAATGCAATTTCTTGAAGCAGTATATCACTGAATTGTTGTATTTTTCATTACGACAGTGATCTTGAATATACCTGAAACATCTTTCAGAATTACTTAACAAAAATTACAAAGAAATAATCAGTTGTGTCGTTTCGTAACACTATCCATAGTCGAACCAATTTAGTAATAGCGATTACAAACTGATTTCAAGTGGAATCAGGAGAAAATTATTTATAAAATTCAGTGTTAAAGCGCCATGATTCATTTGGATGAATATTCTTGAACGAAATAAACACACTGATTGCACAGATTTTTCTAATTGTTCGCAACACTGAATATAATTTGCGTTTTCTCTACAATATGGAAAATTAATAAGAATTAAAGTGTTTCTTATTCTATGTTTAATAGCATAAGTGCCCGGTGACTTATAGACAAGAGTATACATGTAGAGAAATAGAAAGAGAAATATATACTTAAAAATCATTTTTATATAAAGTTTGTTATAAATTATTTATTACAAAAAGTGTTTAATGAATATTGAAGATGTTTCATGCGACAGTTTCCGTACCAATATGAAAATGTAAACTTATCTACGTGTTACACGAATCTGTTTTACTGTGTTACAGGTACGAGCATTGCCACTATTTTTCCGTCATGTTATATGAATGCGTGTTACACGGAGGTCTACTGTATCAATTTGCATAGTAAACGTTTCCGTCGTAAAGCGTATAGAAGAATTCATCAAATTATTTTTTCAGTGATTTTTATCTAGAATATACCCTTTATTATTATTAAATTTAACGATACGTGTTGATCCAAAGCCATTTCGCATCCCTGCACGAAAAGTGTCACAAGTCGAAAACGTGCAACTTTTCAGAAGAGAGAAAAGAAACTAATTCATTCACGTAGCACTTCATACATTAAACAAAGTGAAAATTAGCACCATGTCGCTTGAAGTATTAGACTTTAATTTGCGACATTTTTCTGAATGGTGGAACTACGTATTAGAAAATATTTTATGCAACAAAATGAAAATTGACAATTTTTTACTTGTGACACTTTTTTTGCGGGGGTGCGAAATGCATTTTATCATTTTTACTTACAAAAATTCATAATATCAATTTTCTCAGTAAGATCAATATTTTAACAGCATTTTCTATTTAAGATTAATTCTTTCTGCATGTTGCTAAAATCATTCTTCTACATTTTAGGTGCACAGATCTCACGGTGTATTATACGTACCATTCGATGGGAAGGAAGTCCCTTTTAGGGAGTACGAAGTTTTGACGCAAAGTTAATTTATATGTCTAAAACGCACAGCTTACGGCTTCTGGCACAGACAGCTCTCTTGTGACAACATTTGTTATTCAAAGTTGATCCAATACACTTTTGACATAATCAACTAATTACATAAATATACATTATCTACCTTTAATATGAGTCTTCTGAGTTCAAAGAACTGGATATGCAATCTTTAGAGACTGCGACTATTAGTGTGTAAGTGTAATTTTTTGAACGCGGATGTTTATGAGAGTTTAAAGTTGCAGACATTAATTTATGAAAACGAAAATTAGATAGAAATTTATTTACTATATTAATAATAACATATATACAGCAAGGGTCTTTATTGGAACTTTTATTTTACTCCGATTCGCAAGTTAGAAGATGCTATAAGTGAATAAATTATCCTTATGCACTGATCAGTCTGAATTGAAGATCGATGAATAATTGTAAATAGATACATGTTAATATGTATAAACGTTTGATAAACTTGTTATTATCTACCCTCTGAAAGGTCAATTGATATACAAAAAAGGTAATTTGTGGACAATTAGTTCACCTAACGGGAGAAAGGGAGCTTCGTACTCTGCTGTCAGCCTATCCACGAAGTGTCTAAATAAGTTCTGTCTCTCCTATCTGCCTTTCACAGCGTACACGTACGAGACTATCAAGGATCGCGTACATTTTTAGTTTCAAGGTCCACTAATTTCTCGACGATCCTTACAAACAATATTGTTTCTAATTAACTCTGTCTAAGTACAGAATTAAAGGTTAAATGTAAAAGTAAATGAGTTCGATTGACGTGAACATAATACTGAAAAAGCAACTCGGAGTAATGCTTACGAATATCTGGACCCCAGAGCCAGAATGTATTAAGTCACATTTTTCAAACTTTAGAAGAGAGCAAATCAAAGGTGCAATAATGTTGCAACTTACAAACCGTTCGGTAAGAATTCAACGAGAAACAATCGCTACTTTCGAACTATTCAATGGACTAAGAACAAGTCTCGATATGTAAAAATGGTGAATATCGCATTAAGTCTCCTATGTGATGAACTTTGCACTGTTTGGTTGGGAACCAGATATGGAGTTACATCATTTTTCCACTAAAACTAAATGACTCAGAACGAAATAATTTTTACCATCGGAAAAGTTAAAAAATTTGATACGGGAAACATGTAAATTGTTATTTTTTTTAAAAAAGTAGACTTGGTACACTCTGGCTCTGGTGTCCAGATATGGTCATTTCGGTAATATAATATTGCATCCCGGCTACAATACCGCAATAACTCCAAAGAAATATAAATTCCTAGTTTTATATGTAAAAAAACTGTAAATACAGTCTTCTGTATGCTACAAAACTACAAACAACCCTACTTTCTATCTTGCTCCAATAGGAGGCAGTCGATAGACATTTATTTTAGACATTTTAAAACTTTGACAAGCTCTCTTGTAAAATGATACATTTTTACTTATGGCAGTATTGCAGCCGGAGGGCAATATAACAGATATATCATGTTTGGTAAGAATGTAGTAACCGAGGCCCCTAGCCCTTAGCTACTACGCAAGTAAATCGCCCTTATTGATTCATTGGGTTTGGACACAGCAACTTGGTCGCGTTTATCAGTTAGAACCTTTAACGAGCCAATAAGTTGACCAATCGAACATAAGCAATAAGAAATAACATTTCCATCATACCAGTTAAGGGTTAACAGAACGAACAAACTATAGGAATTCAGAAGATTCCTCATCCAGAGAAGTAAATATAGACTCAACCTAAAACGGCGTTAATATCCCAAGATCGCATAGCAAACGACTGAAATTATCTGAAAGACACTAACTTATACCACAAAATCTGATGACTAGACATTCTATGCATTCCTAAAATATCCAATTATCTAAAATTCAGTATGGTAAAAGTTTCAGAATGTTTATGTAAAACCAAAAATAAAATTGAAATTTCACTTAAATCCATAACTGTGTTCAGTATCCACAACCTACACATCAAATTCAACGCATCCCCCCCACACACACACATTCAAAATTCACCATTTATGCAACCAAAACAAGCAATTCCCTGAAAATCGTCCACCCCTGGCCCCGCCGCGACCCCTTGTGTCGTTCGGCGAGACACATCGGAAAAACGAGAGATCCTCGCTTTCCCGCTGAAAAAAAGCAACCGGTGGTCGTTTTCATCGGCGAACACCCGTTAGGTTGTGGGCACGTGGCCGTCTCCCGGCATTATATTCCCATGGCTGGCACGTGGCCGCGTGTCGGTGGCCCCTGCCGATCCCCCTACGGAACATACCAGGCCCCGCCACCTCTTATTGTCGGAGGGGAGGGGGGAGAAAAGAGCCGGTGGCCCCCGGGGGTTTGTCGCGCTATGTAATATTTTGATCGGGAGTAGAACAGAGACAGAGAGAGAGCGACAGGGAGAGAAAGAGAGATGCATCGTCTGCGTTTCGTTCAGGGAGCAGGCAGGGGTTGCCCACGTGCTAGCGATCGTTCCCTTTTGATTAATTTCGGTACGGATCGACTGGCACGAACGTGGATGATGCTCGACAAAGGAAAGCTCTGGGAAATGCTCTCCTAGCCTAGGGGACGGTGGGGGGCGTGGAGAGGGGGCCGAGAGGAGAGAGAAAGAGAGAGCGTAGAAGAAAAAAAAAATAGCAACAGCTGGCACCAGGACGAGAAACGACAGCATGGTACAATAGGAGCCCTACACAGAGGGGGGGGGAGGCTAAATCACCCCTCGTCTCTGTAACGCAGCTAGAAGAGAGCGTCCCGACGCGCGTTCCAATCAACACACGACGTGCACGCGTTCGCTTCGCGATCATCCTCCTGTATTATATGATATAATCGTGGACCACTTGCACCCTAGCAGAGGGGAGGGAAGGGTATATATCGTTAACGACGCGTCATTTTCGACGGAAACCCTGGTCCTATGCAATTGGACTACTGTGAATATTGTATAGAGGGGGAGGGCAGAGGCGTGGGTTAATTAGACCGTCGGGAGATATTGCATTTGTATGGGTGCGTTTATGCCGATTCAGATTTTTCGTGGAACCCGGTCGCCTCATGATAGGAAATATTAGCGGGGTATGAAGAGGGAAAATGAGAGAACAAGGGGGGTTAATCTACACGTGATGTCTTTTCAATACCCTCTTGTTTTAAATGAAGAGAGCAATGAACGTTTTCATGGGGAATGTCCGACAGTGAACGAGAACTAAAATGTAAGTGTACGAACACTTTGTAAGGGGTTAACCCATAATAATCGCTTGACAGTCATAGGTACATTTGTGAACTTTTTACATGGGAATACAATAAAGAAAACTGAAAGTCAGTTGCAAAGCCTGTAATATACACATGTATATTCAAATATAAAGAATATTTACTTTCATACAAAATGGCGGTGCTGGTGTCACTTCTGTAGAGCACCTTTTAGGTCAACTGTTTGTGCGGAGGCGTCGATCGCGGTTGCTGGGTTTGAATTAAAACACACAAGAATTTTTAATTTTCTAGAAAAATTCCTGGTGAAGTACGTAGGATTTTTTAAGAATGTTTAATTTTGTAAAATTGGTCATCATTTTAAATAAAAAAATCGATTTTGGTCAAAAGGTTTTGTACAAAAGCGTTCATAAAAAAGAATGGTTTTGATATATCGATAAAATCCTACGTACTTTCCCAACAAATTTTTTCCAGAGAATGAGAAATTCTTGTTTTTTGTTTTAGTTCAAACCTCGCGACCGTGATCAAAGTCACCTTGGGAACAGTCCGCCGAAAAGGTGCTCTACAGAACCTGCATCAGGACCGCCATTTTGTATGAAAAGTATATTTAAAGATACATACTTATATTGCACGCTTTGCGATTGATTTTCAATTTAGTTTATTGTATTCCCAGAAAAAATTCACAAAGACACCTATGATTTTCAAGCGGTCAGGGCGGGCTATATGCATACTCTATTTCGACCCAATTACGTTTTCATTTCTTTAACGCTCCTAGGACTTTGCACACTTTGCGAAATATGTAAGGAAATTCTCACTGATCTGCGTGTTTCTCATTCCATATCATTATTTCGAATACGTAACTGAATTGAAGATCGTAGCAATGGCAAAAAAACATACAAATATGAATGTAAGAAAAGTTAGAACATGGTAGAGAAACGATCATAATGGTTAATTAGATCGTCGGGACGTATTGTGTTATTTGAATAAATATCCGCAGCCTACTGATCAGTTCTACTACATCATTCTCATTAAATCTTTACAAAATATTATTTTCCTTCTTTCTTAATTATTAGACCTGGCCCGATATTTTTGAACGACAGTGTATACATGTAATGTCGAAATGTAATTCTTGCAATGTATGTACACCGTTATCCAAGAATCTCCAAAATGAATGTCGAAACGGTAATTTTATTTCAAGATTGCGCCCCGTCGAGTTCACAGGCCCGCTCGAAATGAATCCATCCATATGGCGCGGGACACACGAAAGCCAGAACCAGAACCAGAACTCGAATCGTGATTCAGTAGCGGCAAAGACAGAACAGCTGCCCTGTCGTTGATCGAAGAGAACCCTGCAGCTGCTCTGTCACTATAGTGTTGCCACTGCCGCTACCACCGCTACGGCCACTTCAGACTTTTGAAGACTAAATGACGCGGATGATCGTTGCGATTGTAACTGTATACGTCCCCCGTTCCTGTTATAAAACTCTGTTGTATCAGCTGTATGCGAACAGATCAAAAGCCACACGATTTACGATAATGGCCGTACCATTTAGTACCTTTAGGTGACGAACATTGTCCTGACGTTGCACTCTTTATCTCCGTACTTCATTGGTAACCACTTTTGCAATTTGATTTTCCAACACAACGGGAACAATATACTTCTACGCGTGTCGACAGCAACATCGAATAGATTAAACGAATGTTCATTGCATATTCATATTGCAACGGGTATTGAAATACGAAGTATGCTCCAGAAACATCAAACAGGGAATTACGAACTAAGACTAAACCGTATATTTTTATTCCTTTTTACCACATTAGGTGTATCAATAAGTAGTCCACTATTTTTCACGAAACTCTGTATTCGTTTCAAAATAATTCAAATACCTCAACTTTCCCGCGATTTTGCCTAAACAGAAGATTGTAAAGATGATCTAAATCTAAAATGTATTGGCCCTATATTAGAGCTGCAGTGAATGACTCAATGGTGTACTTAATATTTTACACATTCTCTGGTTAATCGTCATTCTT